CAGAAAGAGCAGAGCCGGCCTCGCCGTCTCGAGATGGTAGTGGACGGCGTTTAGGTTAGAGTGAAGTCCCCTGATATTGCAGAAATTCACGGACAGCGTGGCAGGGGTCGCCTTGGTCTTGTTGCTCCGTTTGCCCCGAGCAGTTGTAGTCTTGAGCAGAATTTTGACCCCCCCCCCCAGAATATGCGGGGCAGCCTAAGCACCCACGCTCAGAAGTGGAGAAACATGGTCGTGGATGCTCAGCGAGGGATTCTCCAGGGGTGCTGGTACCCTCCTGGGGTAGTCGATCATTATTTAATTCCGCTACCATGTTGATGGGGGGGGGGGGGATTTGGGCCTCCGGCCACCTGCCATCCCCAGACGAAACGCGGAAGCGGAGCTTCCACTTCACGCCGTTATTCTGTGAGGTCGTGGTACCACTCCGGTTTGATCCGGCCCATACGTGCAACAGAAAAGCTGCCGCGTGGCTCTACCACTGTTATACACGGTTTTGGTTTACATTTGGTTTCGCTTCTAGTTGGCCGTAGTATAGTTTAATTATGGAATCTCTGTAAGTCTATCGTATTTACGATTCGCGTTTTTATCTTCATACAATCTTTTCAGCATGATGCATGTGTCATGTATATGTATACGCAAAAACAAAATCATTATTTATAAAATGATTCTGTTTTTGCGCAATAATTACATTTATATGTAAGTAGTTTAAGTATTATTATGTAAGTAGATTTACCTATTGAGGTTCAAAAAAGTTCAAAAGGCAACGTTTCCTTGAGTAACGTGTTCAATGAATTTGTTAAATAAATTGATAAAAATAAATAAAATGTAAAATATTTACCGCTGTTTTGTCGACATTCATAACGTAAGGAGATATATATTGACGTTACTTTAACAAGTTTTTCTGGGTAAATATTACCATTTCTTTTTTTTTTTTTTCATTAGATATGAAAAGGTATTTGTTTTACTGTTTTCGATGAAAACAATGTAACAACAAAATTTTATTTCACAATTTTGTTCACTACGATTTTTATGTTGAAAAAAATCAATTGTGTCTTACGGCAGCACTGTATTTTACACCACCGGAAAATTGGAAACCACAAATCACATGCAAATTACGTATTATTAAAGTGTATAGCAGTGAACCGGGGAACAAGAATATTATGCCCCAGAGCGTTAAATTTTATTGGGGATGAAGTGTGCGGAAGGCACTCAGAATTTTGATGTAGCATATTAGTCCTTTCTTTATACCATTGCGTATCAATAACTTTATGCCTGGAGGGATTTAAAAGGGACCTTATTTTCATGCTAGCTGCATGTATGAAATAAGGTACAGTCGGTGTACAAAACATCGATATTTTCATCTCCCCAAATCCGAATGTTCCAAAGGAGGTACGTTTCACATATTTCTAACTCGATCGCAGCACTCCTGCTTGCAAAATAGTTCCACTATCCTATTATTATATACTATGGTTATTCATATATATAACCATAAAATACATAACAAAAATTCATCTACAAAATGTAAAATAAATATTTATTTGTTTGTATACCGAAAAAGAATGTATGAGTAAAGAGCGACAAAGCAAAAGTATGCTGCAGAAGTGTGTGGCAGAGTCTGCCAAACACATCTGCAAATTGACGATATAATTTTGAAGATGGGCCAAGTTAAAACTACCCTTAACCGACATGTATGTGTGCATGTGAAAGGAGCGACAGAGGTGTGTGTTAAATTGAAGTTCGTAGTCTGAGCCTAATTATGACGAATGAATAGAATATAAGATCAATCAAGACGACGATGTGTTTTGAAATTTAATAAGTTCACTCTTTCCAAATCTAAAAAAATCTCTGTGTATGTCTATAATGGGTGGTACTTATATATTACTTTCGGAAACATGTACAATGTATTTCTCTACTTGATTTGTTTTGTGCCGTGTATGGTTAAGAGTATTTACTTAATTATCTATGATATTGATAGGTTTAAGCGGATGGCATCCTTGAATTCCTTGATATATTTATAGAGTTAAATTGAGCACTAACAAAGTCTGATTGCTGCAGTGTCATTTGTAAATTTAAGGGAAACCTGTTATTAGCATTACTACATTACACATAGTTATAAGATATATTATTTGTATAGCTGTTGGTTTTCTTAATAAAAAAAAAATAATTAAAAAATAGTATGTGTAATTACCGTTTTATGTAGCTAAGTTTTATTAATATAATATACTTAGAAATATTGACTCAAAGCATAACGTTGCGTCATTAATCCAACAGGCGTGAGTAGAACTTAATGTACCTATAGAATATACAATAAACGAACTACCGTTCCAAAGGTATAAGAGCTATTAACCCTGCGCAACCTTTAGAGGCTGCCTTTTCTAACGGAATATTCGCGGTTTTCTCGGAAATATAGAACGAAAATATAAGAAAAATAAATAGTTGTTTGTTAGAATATAGAAAAATATAAAGGTTCCCGAGTGGCAGTTTCGTACCAGTAAGTGAAGCATACAGCGGCCCCTTACTAGTTAGAGCGGCGACCTGGTAAAAGATGAAGGAAGTTGATGGATAGATAAAATCTCCAGGTGTAACAACGCAAATTGATCGAGACGTCAATTCCAATCATCATCAACATTCAATTACCGTGGATAGGAGGATCGTCTGCTCCTTCATCATCTTTACATCCCTCCATAAGTCCACTGCTGAACATAGACCTCCCCCAAGGATTGCAACAAAGCACGGTCCCGAGCCACCTGCATCCATAGACTTCCTGCATATCTTACCAGGTCGTCACTCATCACTCATCTAGTGGCGGGACGCCCTACACTTCGCCTGCCGGTACGAGGCTGCCACTCGAGAAACTATTTTCCCCATCGGTTATCGGTTCTTTGAGCTATATGGCCGGCCCATTGCCACTTCAGCTAACTAATCCGTTGGGCTATGTCAGTTACGCTGGTTCTACTGCGGATAAACTCATTCTTTGAGCTTTCTCATACGGCCAGTAGTGAAGGACAGCAGCAGACTTCACTGCTGGTCGTCTGCTCCTTGATCGCCGTTATTTTTATAAAAGACTTACACCTGCCAAAATTGCCTTTTGTATTATTTGAGATTCTCGGTTTGATAGACTTTACGATATCGCTCTAAATCTATTATAGTTAAAATAACGAGCGTATAAAGCGAGCGTGTAAAATATACGCCAATCTTATGCGTTAACTAATTTCCGTATATTATAGTTACATGAGATATATTAATACTACTAGTTAAGTGTACTCGTATAATGGCGGCTTAAGAATACTTAGTACCTCATATCGTCCCGTGGATTCCGTAACAGGTTTTTTTATATGATAAGGGTGACAAACGAGCACACAGTCTACCTGTTGGTAAGTGAATGTTGTGGCCCATTGACATCTATATTCCATTAAGAATCAAAATGCAGATGCGTTGTCATCCTTGAGGACTAAGATGGAATGCGTCGATTCCAGTAAAACGGGTCTCCGGTTCTCTACACTCATCATACGAAACACAGCAGCATTAAGCTGCTATTTTACGCTGGTATTTTGTGAGAGCGTGGTCCTTCCCCGGTGGTACCGACCCATTCATGCTACAACCATAATATAGCTGCAGCGTGAATCTACCACGTATAAAATTCAATAAAATTATTATTCAAGGTGACAGAAAGAAAACAAACGTGGACATGGGCAGCTTCAACTTTCTAATAACAACTGGAGAATAAAAACTGAGGTTGCCAACCTACCTGCCAAGCTTGGGGCATCCACTATAATTGATGTATGGCTTGATAAATGCTTTAACTAAGTTGTAATATAACGGCCATTTATAATATTTAGTATAAAGTATAGTAACTGGAATATAAACTTTGTAAAGTGCACCTGATAACTATTTGAACATTATGTTATTTTCGTAAGGTAAAAGAAAATGCATATAATATATTAAGTTAGAATGTGTTTTCGATGTTTACGTTAAAGTTTATTAACCTGTCACTTTATTGCCTCTTTAAATATTCTACTCCGCAGGATTGTGCTAAAGCGTTATTGGAAATCAATAGTGGTGTTATTTTTATAGCTTGCTCTTATTTTGTTCTTTGCATATAAGTGGATGCAATAAAGGGAAATCTTTTCGGTCTCTACTATATTTAAAAATCGCACGACACTGAAACCCATTACTCAAGGAAAAGACTATTAAGATTTAATGGCCTCATCAAATTATATTAAATTAAAATTATATTTCTTTTTTCTTCCACAAATACATATAATAGGATGAAATAGGATACGTCTACTAACAAACGAAACAAATATATGGAATTTTATGATGTTTTTGTTGTGGAGCATAGGCATAGGAAACACAGGTCTATACCTGAAACACAGGTATGGATCTGTGCTCCAATACAACTGGAGAGAGATCAGGCGCAAGATCAAGGGCTTTACGTGTGTTTAGAGGTATAAGAATTTCTTGAAAGGACCTTTTAGGACGGGAAATTCCAGGACTTCATGATCAGCGGTCGCATTTACTAGGCAGAAAGAAGTAGAAAAAATACACACAGATGTAACCACAATTTTTTTGAAATAGTTCAAGTAAAATAAAATTAAAATCGGTTTACGGAATTCTGATTTTGTAAGCTTATTTTTATTAGGTACTCGTAAAACCAGTTCGAGCTTCAGTTGTCTAGCTCGGTCGTTAAGGCGCAGCGCTATGGTAAATGATCGTAAAAAGCTATTCTTCAATTTTCTTTTCTAAAGTATTTATTACGAGCTTTAAAAATATATTTTCATTTATTTAATATCGTGAATAAAAACCATTACGCGTTCGAAACTGTTTAACGGCTTGAAATTATAGTTTATATACACTAAAATTTGAACAATTATTTGTAAATTTTACTATATACAGGTAGAAGTCTGTTAACTTGAGCCTTTATAAGCTGGTATACAGCAATACGTGCAATACTGTGATCCGACAAAAAGAGTAAAGCCAGTATAATAATGAAGCATTCTATCTCAGTCCTCAGAGTTGACGACGTATCTGTTGCCATCTTTGTTTGAATTTGGTTGCAGTTGTCCCTGGGCAACAGTTGTCCCTGGGCAGCAGTTGTCGCTGGGCAGCAGTTGTCGCTGGGCAGCAGTTGTCCCTGGGCAGCAGTTGTCCCTGGGCAGCAGTTGTAGCTGGGCAGCAGTTGTCCCTGGGCAGCAGTTGTCGCTGGGCAGCAGTTGTCCCTGGGCAGCAGTTGTCCCTGGGCAGCAGTTGTCCCTGGGCAGCAGTTGTCGCTGGGCAGCAGTTGTCCCTGGGCAGCAGTTGTCGCTGGGCAGCAGTTGTCGCTGGGCAGCAGTTGTCGCTGGGCAGCAGTTGTCGCTGGGCAGCAGTTGTCGCTGGGCAGCAGTTGTCCCTGGGCAGCAGTTGTCGCTGGGCAGCAGTTGTCCCTGGGCAGCAGTTGTCGCTGGGCAGCAGTTGTCCCTGGGCGGCAGTTGTCGCTGGGCAGCAGTTGTCGCTGGGCAGCAGTTGTCCCTGGGCAGCAGTTGTCGCTGGGCAGCAGTAGTCGCTGGGCAGCAGTTGTCGCTGGGCAGCAGTTGTCCCTGGGCAGCAGTTGTCCCTGGGCAGCAGTTGTCGCTGGGCAGCAGTTGTCGCTGGGCAGCAGTTGTCGCTGGGCAGCAGTTGTCCCTGGGCGCAGTTGTCGCTGGGCAGCAGTTGGCCCTGGGCAGCAGTAGTCCCTGGGCAGCAGTTGTCCCTGGGTAGCAGTTGTCCCTGGGCAGCAGTTGTCCCTGGGCAGCAGTTGTCGCTGGGCAGCAGTTGTCCCTGGGCAGCAGTTGTCCCTGGGCAGCAGTTGTCGCTGGGCAGCAGTTGTCGCTGGGCAGCAGTTGTCCTGGGCAGCAGTAGTCCCTGGGCAGCAGTTGTCCCTGGGCAGCAGTTGTCCCTGGGCAGCAGTTGTCCCTGGGCAGCAGTTGTCCCTGGGCAGCAGTTGTCCCTGGGCAGCAGTTGTCCCTGGGCAGCAGTTGTCGCTGGGCAGCAGTTGTCGCTGGGCAGCAGTTGTCGCTGGGCAGCAGTTGTCGCTGGGCGGCAGTTGTCGCTGGGTAGCAGTTGTTCCTGGGCAGCAGTTGTCGCTGGGCAGCAGTTGTCCCTGGGCAGCAGTTGTCGCTGGGCAGCAGTTGTCCCAGGGCAGCAGTTGTCCCTGGGCAGCAGTTGTCGCTGGGCAGCAGTTGTCCCTGGGCAGCAGTTGTCGCTGGGCAGCAGTTGTCCCTGGGCAGCAGTTGTCCCTGGGCAGCAGTTGTCCCTGGGCAGCAGTTGTCCCTGGGCAGCAGTAGTCCCTGGGCAGCAGTTGTCCCTGGGCAGCAGTTGTCCCTGGGCAGCAGTTGTCCCTGGGCAGCAGTTGTCGCTGGGCAGCAGTTGTCCCTGTGCAGCAGTTGTCCCTGGGCAGCAGTTGTCCCTGGGCAGCAGTTGTCGCTGGGCAGCAGTTGTCCCTGGGCAGCAGTTGTCCCTGGGCAGCAGTTGTCGCTGGGCAGCAGTTGTCGCTGGGCAGCAGTTGTCCCTGTGCAACAGTTGTCCCTGGGCAGCAGTTGTCCCTGGGCAGCAGTTGTCGCTGGGCAGCAGTTGTCCCTGGGCAGCAGTTGTCCCTGGGCAGCAGTTGTCGCTGGGCAGCAGTTGTCGCTGGGCAGCAGTTGTCCCTGGGCAGCAGTTGTCCCTGGGCAGCAGTTGTCGCTGGGCAGCAGTTGTCCATGGGCAGCAGTTGTCCCTGGGCAGCAGTTGTCGCTGGGCAGCAGTTGTCCCTGGGCAGCAGTTGTCCCTGGGCAGTAGTTGTCCCTGGGCAGCAGTTGTCCCTGGGCAGCAGTTGTCCCTGGGCAGCAGTCGTCCCTGGGCAGCAGTTGTCTCTGGGCAGCAGTTGTCGCTGGACAGCAGTTGTCCCTGGGCAGCAGTTGTCCCTGGGCAGCAGTTGTCGCTGGGCAGCAGTTGTCGCTGGGCAGCAGTTGTCCTTGGGCAGCAGTTGTCGCTGGGCAGCAGTTGTCGCTGGGCAGCAGTTGTCGCTGGGCAGCAGTTGTCGCTGGGCAGCAGTTGTCGCTGGGCAGCAGTTGTCCCTGGGCAGCAGTTGTCGCTGGGCAGCAGTTGTCGCTGGGCAGCAGTTGTCCCTGGGCAGCAGTTGTCGCTGGGCAGCAGTTGTCGCTGGGCAGCAGTTGTCGCTGGGCAGCAGTTGTCCCTGGGCAGCAGTTGTCGCTGGGCAGCAGTTGTCGCTGGGCAGCAGTTGTCCCTGGGCAGCAGTTGTCGCTGGGCAGCAGTTGTCGCTGGACAGCAGTTGTCGCTGGGCAGCAGTTGTCGCTGGGCAGCAATTGTCGCTGGGCAGCAGTTGTCCCTGGGCAGCAGTTGTCGCTGGGCAGCAGTTGTCCCTGGGCAGCAGTTGTCGCTGGGCAGCAGTTGTCGCTGGGCAGCAGTTGTCCCTGGGCAACAGTTGTCGCTGGGCAGCAGTTGTCCCTGGGCAGCAGTTGTCGCTGGGCAGCAGTTGTCGCTGGACAGCAGTTGTCCCTGGACAGCAGTTGTCCCTGGGCAGCAGTTGTCGCTGGGCAGCAGTTGTCGCTGGGCAGCAGTTGTCGCTGGGCAGCAGTTGTCGCTGGGCAGCAGTTGTCCCTGGGCAGCAGTTGTCGCTGGGCAGCAGTTGTCCCTGGGCAGCAGTTGTCGCTGGGCAGCAGTTGTCGCTGGGCAGCAGTTGTCCCTGGGCAGCAGTTGTCGCTGGGCAGCAGTTGTCGCTGGGCAGCAGTTGTCGCTGGGCAGCAGTTGTCGCTGGGCAGCAGTTGTCGCTGGGCAGCAGTTTTCGCTGGGCAGTAGTTGTCCCTGGGCAGCAGTTGTCGCTGGGCAGCAGTTGTCCCTGGGCAGCAGTTGTCGCTGGGCAGCAGTTGTCCCTGGGCAGCAGTTGTCGCTGGGCAGCATATGTCGCTGGGCAGCAGTTGTCCCTGGGCAGCAGTTGTCGCTGGGCAGCAGTTGTCGCTGGGCAGCAGTTGTCGCTGGGCAGCAGTTGTCCCTGGGCAGCAGTTGTCGCTGGGCAGCAGTTGTCCCTGGGCAGCAGTTGTCGCTGGGCAGCAGTTGTCCCTGGGCAGCAGTTGTCGCTGGGCAGCAGTTGTCGCTGGGCAGCAGTTGTCCCTGGGCAGCAGTTGTCCCTGGGCAGCAGTTGTCGCTGGGCAGCAGTTGTCGCTGGGCGGCAGTTGTCCCTGGGCAGCAGTTGTCGCTGGGCAGCAGTTGTCCCTGGGCAGCAGTTGTCGCTGGGCAGCAGTTGTCGCTGGGCAGCAGTTGTCGCTGGGCAGCAGTTGTCGCTGGGCAGCAGTTGTCGCTGGGCAGCAGTTGTCGCTGGGCAGCAGTTGTCCCCGGGTAGCAGTTGCCACTAACCATCAAGTGGGCTAGATAGGCTAGTTCGTTTGTCAATTCAGATCGTTCATAAGGATACCGGATTAAAAATAAAATAAAGTGTATCTGTGTCAAAAGATTGAATGGAAACCAACTTTTTTGTCGTACGAAGTATCGCAACCAATATTTTCTAAAAAGCCTAAAATCATAAAATTGATATGAAATCAATAATATACAAGATATAGACATAGAACACGATAATCTGACGTCTTCTGTTCACGACGGTATATTTTAAAGTTTTAATTCAAGTTAAAAACGACCACAATTTCATTTCAACAACTGAGTAAGGTTAAAAGCGATATTGCATGCAAACCTCAAATTCCATTTCGTTCAACTGTTTCTAGTGATACTAAAATGTTATTAGAGAACGCCGAACTAGACGAAGAATGTATTGATTTTGGAATACTAATGTAAATATAAGAAAACAACATCTTGTTGAATGTTTCTTTTTTTTTTGAAAAAGTTATCAAATGATGATTCTGTATTTAAAATATTGTTTAAATAACGCCTTTTTTATCTTTTTATTCTTTACACTGTGCACATAAAGCGATGTTACTCTGACAATATAATAGGCCGAGTACGAAAGATCAATATACCAAAATATCAACAATACATTCATTTGGTAAGTCACAACACCAAATTAATAAATATGTAAAATATTAACTTTTTGCACTCAATTTGTTTCTTTAGATTGATAAATGCGGTCCAACCAAGCCGATGGACTTACAGCGTGCACAAGTTCTAACAAAAACAGCTACATGCGCGTTGTCATCACTAATGACTAGGACAGAATACAAATACGCCAAAATGAAACCTATTACTATACTCTTTCTTAGCGACAGAATAATAAAAGAGTTTAAAAAACTTAAACAATAAGCATTGATTACGAGCTGTGGTTATCATCTAAATTATTTCATTTTGGAGTTATATTTTATCCTGGTGATTATTCTGATAAATGCTAGGATCAAGTTACTAAATTATTGTATTGTCATTGGTCCTTGATTGGTGAAAATTACACGCGAAGCTAACAATAGCGTCTATAAAAAACCTCAGCCAACCAACAACTACACTGTTTATTTATTGAATATTTATTAAAAACACACAAGACAAAAGTTGTATCATTATGGTGGAATCGACAGGCGGATTGTCGATCGCATTACCAGACCTCAATCTTTGAGCAGCGCCAGCCACCGGGCAGGCTACTTTGTGACTGACATTATAGAAATGGTGAAACTGCTATTTTTCGGAGCCTGGAAGTTTTTCTGGCATTTCTTAAGTCGGCTTTAACGATACGGAATGAAATATTTAGTTGAAGTAATCCTCTTTCTCTTCCACCAGATGACGTATTCTGGGGTTGTGATTTTTAATGAATTTTATTATTTATAAATTATTTCTAATGAGTATGTTTAGAAATAGTTCACAAACCTTACTTAAAACCTTATTTAAACGCAGGACACATTTTCATATAAATAATAAAATATATATTCGTTACAAAATGTCTCTAAATAAAGAAAATAGCCCTAATTTTTTATTTAATATCACAAATACTTTCATATACTTCTATACGTCAACAAATAACACGAAAAACAACCAGATTTAAGCAACACGAGATTTTCGTGTCTCAAAAACCTTACCACGTAATCGTATATGTTTTTACCTTTACACAGTAAAACGTTTACCATTCTTCCGTTTTAACTGTCTTTTAGTCTATATTAAGTAAACATTTTATGTATGTATGTAAAATCATCACTATCATTACATACAGCCTACATACCCTACTAAACATTTGTTATATAAAATGAAGTGACAAATACCTACAGTCCCGCTGATGGTAAGCGGCTACTGCAGTTCATGGAACACCTTCAGTCAACTTTAAACAAAATAGGCTACAGGTGCGATGTCAGCTTTGAACACTAAGAAGGAATACCTCACAGTCTATAAATATACTGACTTTCTACACCCTTCAGACCGGAAGCCAGCAGTGCAAGCACAGCCATTTGGTGACAGACATAAGTAAGAGGTCGTTATCTTCTCGTCTGTATACTAACATGCTAAGACGGACTCCAAGCTAGAAAAAGAGTCCCATCACTTAGTAAACGTTCGCCTCCTCCAAAGATTTTTTAAATAATAGAATACTATTAGTGCTGTTACCACGACAACTAATCTAATTTAGCTTTAAACGCTTGTACTAGGCTGGAGAATCCGCTAGCCTACATCGTGCGCGGATGTCGTAAGAGGCGACAGGGAAAAACTAAAACAGCATATGGGCAGCAGCATTTTTCTAATAATAACACAAAGTAACTATCGTTTATCTCTTATTCGTATAGCTTACGGCCCTATCTTTTGTAGCTATGTACCACTTTACTATTCACCCTTTTTTACATGGTGAAATGCCTAAGCATGAGTATCTCATCTATCTGTATCGCGGTGGAAAATGAGGGTTATAACGTACTCGCACACAACTAAGACCGCACTGTGTTTCATCTAAGCCGCAAATTGGCATAGCAAAAGAAATACCTTCCGCAAACCCTCTTTGGGACAAGATAACTTCTCCAACTTCTTCTTTTTAGGTAGAACACAAGCTGTGTTTTCTTTCGCGGCGTTTAGCTACACCTATACAACGGACCACCACATACACAGGAAACACCAGATTTTTCGACCCCAGCGGTAGTTCTAGCCTATAACTAGGGTTGGGAGAGTGGCACCTCGCATTACCGACACTCTTCACTTTCCATGACTCTACCACCACTTCATCAACTTTCAACAAATTTAAAAAAATTGACGTGGTAGAGCCACACTGCAGCTATATTAGTAGTATAGTTGTAGCACGAATGGGTCGGCTCGACCACGCTCTCACAGAATACCAGCGTAAAATAGTAGCTTAATGCTGCTGTGTTTCGTATGGAGAGTGTAGAGAACCGGAGACAGTTTTTACTGGAAACAAGGTATTCCATCTTAGTCCTCACGGGTGACAACGCATCTGCATTGCGATTCGTAATCGAGGATAGATGTAAATGTCCATGAGCCACAGCAACCACTTACCATCAGGTGGACTATGTGCTCATTTGTCACCCTAGCCTATATAAAAGTAAGATTATTATAAAGGTGTCACTTATTTTACTAGAAAGGAAATGAAAGTGACTGATGGTCTGACAACAGAAAAATATAAAATATTTTATTGATGCAGCTATAAATAAATCAAACACATCTAATTCAATAAACGATAATCTAATGCACCTAGAAGTAGGGGGCTAAACCAAGTCTTAATTAAAAGTCTATATATACAACATGAAACACAATATCAATGCAAACACGAGATAAATAAAAAAAGTATTTACGCCAGTCGAGCAACTAGTAAGTCACTTTTTTATCGTGGGGAAATCGCAGTGACCATCAGCGTATATGAGAGGTCTCGGCATCTTCGTTCGTAATGCTTAAAAAGTCACTTATGATGACTTGATAGCGAAGCGGTTAAGTGTTTGGTTGTGAAGTTTCAAGCATTAGGATTGAATCCCGTACGGAACAAGTATTCGGTATGCCTTACACATAATTACTTTAGGTCTGGATAATGCCCACAGTGCAATTTCGGTATGTAAAACTGCTTCTTGATACAGCACAAATTCATAAATTGGAAGGTAACTTTATGAAAACAAAAATTACAAAAAGGAAGAATCATTTATTAGAATCTGCATTACATATCAACAATTTTAACTGAAATGGAAGTATAATATTACGTGGCTTTAACATTCATTGATAATAAAAGACCCTACTTACAAATTCTCGTCCAAAATATAATTCAATCTGTGCTTGAATGACATAATGCCTATATTAGATTGAAAATTTACATATCTCTACTTTGGAATACATGGAGAGAATTGTTAATAGAGAGTGAGTATTCACGAGTCTTCTGTAGTAGGTAATTGAGGGCCAAGTTCATTTATTTATTCATAATATTTAGTACTTTCAAGAAATTAAGTAGTAGACTATATAGACCTCATTTCGACACGGTAATTTAATATATAAAAATTAATATTTGTTTTTTTTTTTCGTATTTTATGCGCTGCTGTATCGTTTATCAGATAGCGGTAAAACTTTATCAACATATTATATATATATATATATATTATTGGTTTAGGCATGTAGATCCGGGATAGCGTTACTAGCAGTTGAATAAAAGGTACATCCAAATGTGCATGCTAGTTATGTAATACTAGTTTTTAATATTATCTTGTAGTACGATTCGATGTTCGGTGGTAAGGTTACTCTCATCATAACTAAGAAAAAGCACTCAGAATATTTTTCGGGAGTTACAGTTGCATTCACCGAAGTATACCTTCAGGTCACTCCGTAAAGTGGGGGGGGAGGTAAGGTCTCATCTTAACTTACATAACGAGTACAATCCCGGCACACCTAGTTCTGCTCGTCAAGGATTTTCAGTAGCAGATACCGAAGTACAACTTCAGGTCACTCCATAAAGTTCGAGACGTACTAATAATATAAAAATATACTTATATATTTTTATATAAATCCTACGTACTTTTCGTGAAAACAATATATTGTAATGAAAATCTTTGAGGCGGACACCTTGGTTGCTTGGCTTGCCTAGCGGGGCAACGTTGGTAAATATATGAGACAATCTATGGGGGAGGCCTCAATGATTTCCAAAGGAAGGATGGGCCCTTCTAAATATTTTAGCCCTTCTAAATATTTTACTCATAAATTTTTCATACAAGAAAAAGTAGCGCATCTGTCGTAATACAAACGTCATATTAAAACACGACGTAACCAGGGTCGGATTTCGTAGTATAATTATCCTAATTGTACCATTATTTCATAGTTTGTAGTATATAGTATCGGCATAATACAAAGCGAAAATACCATAATTTTACCTAAAGGTCGACTTGTATTATTATTGGGTCCTTTTAAGTTTTAATATTAACCCTACAGTATCGAGAATTTTTGTATTGTAGGTATATGAGTACCGTGTTTTTTTTTAAATAAAATTAGAATTATCTCCCTTTCTGGTCAATCAATGCTCGATCAAGGCATTTATGTTGCATCCTTGATACAACATTAATAAGGGGCTACCACGATAAAAACTCTATGCTCCAGAAGCAATCTGTTTGAAAACAGATTTTCAAAATATTTTATGAATCAAATTTTCAGATTCAATAGAGCATATATGGTTTCTTTTGTACTCTTTTCATTTTACCCTAAATGAATATAAAATATATTAGGTTATTTATGATGATACGATATCCCACGTTTTTTTTAAATCTTTGTTTCGTAATTTTTGCATTCTTTTACCACGCAAGTAGACATATTTATGACAGGCATATCTGTCCTGTGCGCGCACTACTGTTGACCGATTCGCGTTGGCCTAGACTGTAATTTTAGGGCCAGCGCACTGGTCCGTTTTAGTTGTTCGGTCGGCCCGGTCCTTACGCTAGTAATATGTAAGTCAATGGGAGGCCTACGTTCAGCAGTTGACTTTAATAGGCTGTAACGGTAACCCTGTCCCGAAATTACAACCGCGCTACTGCGTTACTACGCATACGAGTTCCATGTCCATCAGAGTATTGTTTAATTTTGTAAGGAATTAGGGGAAGAAATTTGATGAAAGTAAAATAAATATACAACTGAAGCAATTAAGCGTCTATTTGTTTACACTCCGCTTCTCCCACGTGTCTAGTTAGTTAAGATACTATTACGAGTAAATGCAGTGATTTAAGCTAAGTTAGAGGGCTTTACCGTCTTCGGCTCCATTACCAAGAGGTGAGAGAGTAGTCAATACTGGGATATGATAGTTCAAAAGCTATACTTAATATAATAAGTTAAAAGTCATCTCAGCTACCTTATTTACTAACCGAAAACCGATGAATCGGATACAGGTATATAAACATTAGAAATTTATATTTGGAAATTGCACAGTAAAAAAATAAGTTAGTGATCTTATCGCAGTAAGTTTGTAGAATAAATGAAAAAAAGTTTTAGACCGATCTCCAATTCAATTTATTTCGTATCACGTATGTAGGGTTGTGTGTGTTGAGTGTGATCGGAGCTTGTCATTTCATATCGTCTACTGTATTGCAGTCTTCTAGGCATTGAAAACGGTGTTATAATTCGAGCTCTGAAGGTTTCGGGATTTTGAACTAGAGCACAAGAGGGACGGAGCGTTGATTTCATAAGACGAGATCTCTCCAATCGAACGTTTAGGTTCAGTGTGCCTCTAACCATTTGGTAATCGCTGCCAGTTTTGCACCAAAGGCAATCTCATTTTTTGTCGACCCGTCGGGGCTCGACCAGGTCCACTTCCTGTGGGGCCGCTTCTGGAAGAAAGAGTTCGTTATAAAGATTTTTTTACGTGGTAGAGCCATGTGTGTTATATATCCGAGACCCAGTGTTTTACGTACTTTGATGTTGGGCTTTATTTAATTATTTAAAATTTAAACATGAATTCGATTAATTCAATACTTATTTTATATGAAAATGTTAATGTGTAGACAAAAATATAAATATTCCAATGTAGTTCCAGAAAAACCTCACCTCGAACTCCAATCTTACACTTCAAAATGCTGATTAGGCCAAAACACAGTTTTTTTTAAATTATCGTACTAATCTATAAATAGACCTTTTATTTCAGACGGTACATCTGTTTCGTATTCTAATTTTAACCACAGTA